GTCCCATATGTCCAAAAATAGCCTTTATTTCCTTTTGGGTTACATTTTCATGGAAACTGGATTGATGTGTTCGTTCACCAGTTACCTGATACTTTCCTTGTCTTAGCTCAGTAATAGAGGGGCTGGCATGTGAGGGAAGGGGCTGTGGTGATAAGGTAGGAAGGAGCCTGCTACTGCAAGGTGAGGCTGTGCTGTTCACTCTTGGCCTTTGGGGGAACAGCACAGGGAGCAAGCCTCATTTTTTTTTTAATTGAAAAAATTTGACATGTAATATGTAAAGGGTACAGTGTGTTACCCTTATATATCTATAATATATATTTACATATTATAATATGGTTGCCCATGTAATATGTCACATTATGTACTTACAGTACAGTATTATCTTTGTTCAATATACTGTACAGTAACTCTATTTTAGTACCTGTTACAAGTTTGTATCCTTAAACACTGCCAGTCTCAGCCCCCCATCCATATCCCCTGGTAGCTCCTATTTTATCTTTTTTAAACAGGTCTGATTTTTTTTTAGATTCCACATATAAGTGATATCATACTGTACTTGTCTTTCTCTAGTCTGACTTATTTCGCTCAGCATAATGTGCTCAATCAAGATCCATCCATGTTGTTGCAAATGGCAGGATATCTTCCTTTCTCATGGCTGAATAACATTCCGTTGCATATACGTACCACATGTTTTTAATCTGTTCATCTAAGATGGGCTTTTGGGTTGCTTCTCTATCTTGGTTATTACAAGTAGTGCTGTGATAAACATGGGGTGCGTATATCTCACTGAACTCCTCTTTTTAATTCTTTTGGGTATACTCCCAGAAGTGGAATTGCTGGATCATATAGATCCATTTTTAATTTTTTAAGAATCTTCATATTGTTTTCCATAGGGGTTGGAGAAATTTACATTCTCACTAACAGTGTATAAGGGTTCCCTTTTTGCCACATCCTCGCCAGCACCTGTTGGCTCATTTTCTTGATAAGAACCATTCTAACAGATGTGAGGTGATAGCTTGTTGTGGATTTTATTTTCATCTCCCAGTGATGTTAAGCGTCTTGTCATGTGCCTATTGATGTCCTCTTTGGAAAATGTCCATTTAGTTCTGCCTATTTTTTAACTGGATTGTTTTTTTTTTTGTTATTGACGTGTATAAATTCTTTATATATTTTGGATATTAAACCCTATCCAATATATGGTTTGCAAAAACTCCCATTCTGTTGGCTGCCTTTTCATTTTGTAAATTGTTTCTTTTGCTATGCAGAAGCTTTCCAGTTTGATATAGTCCCATTTGTTGATTTTTTTCTTTTGCTATTTGTACTTTCGCTATCATGTCCAGAAAATCATTTGCAATACCAATATTGATGAACTTCTTCTCTGTGTTTTCTTCTAGGAATTTTATGGTAACTTTATGGAATTTTATGGTAATTTTCTTCTAGGAATGTCAGGTCTTATGTTTAAGTCTTTGATCCATTTCGAGTTAATTTCTGTGAGTGGTGTGAGATAGGGGTTCAGTTTCATTGCTCTGCATGTGATTCTCCAGTTGTCCCAGCACCATTTGTCGAAGAGACTATCCTTTCCCGATTGGGTGTTCTTGGCTCCATCTTGCCTCCTCTTTTAAGTTCTTTCTGCTGGCTCAGGCAGGGGCTTCTCTAATCAGGCACATGCATCTTTCCCTCCAGGGCCACTTTGGGAAAGTTGAGCTCTGCAGGTATGACCCTGAAGGGGACAATACAGGAGAGCAGGTGGCTGTCAAATCCCTGAAGCCTGAGAGCGGAGGTAACCACATAGCTGATCTGAAGAAGGAAATTGAAATCTTAAGGAACCTCTATCACGAGAACATTGTGAAGTACAAAGGCATCTGCACAGAAGATGGTATGTTATACAGGGAGGTTGGTTTAAAGACTGAGTGACTGAGCAGGCAGTGCGCTCGGCTTTGTCTGGGCCATCCTGAGTGCATGCTAGCTGATGGCCCCCAGGAGCTCTAGGGCTTCAAAGTCATATTCACTGTCATATTCCCCAGCAGCTGCAGAGCTCCTCCCAGCCAGGGGATGATTCCAGTATTGTCTCTCCAGGCTCTTCACATGCCCACAGTGGGGGTTGATCTTCACCCATCCAGATATTGGCACTTGGGGCATTTAGGCCATATAAAACAGATACTCTGTCTTCCCTTTCCCTAGGCTAGTCCAATACTAGCCAGGAAATTTTGTTTTCTAGTTGCCTAAATCAAGGTGGCAAGTAGTATTTACTAATAAGCGTATCTTATTTGCAAGCTAGTCAATACTTCTGTATTATACTTTAGAATTGGTAGTGAAATGATATTTTAAAATATTATCATTTGTCTAGTGGTTATCAGAGCACTCTGTATTATCTCAGTGAATGCTGAAGACTCTGAGGGCAGGTGCCTGAGTGTTACTATCCCTGTTCACTGCTGAGCATCCCGAGGCTATGGGGCTTAAGCGGTTAAGTTAATTTGCCTGTGATTTAGGGGTGATGCTGAAATTAGTTCGGGTCCCATGTCTCCAGATCTCATGCCCTTTCCTCTCCCCTAGTTCCTTCATTTGGAAACCTCACACTGATGGATATATTTTTCTATACAGGAGGAAATGGTATTAAGCTCATCATGGAATTTCTGCCTTCAGGAAGCCTGAAGGAATATCTTCCAAAGAATAAGAACAAAATTAACCTCAACCAGCAGTTAAAATATGCCGTTCAGATTTGTAAGGTAAAAAAACAAAACAAAACAAAATGTTAAAGATTAAAAAATCAGGCACTCAGCCCTGGGTAATTGGTTTGTAATTAGACTGTAATTGGGAAACTTTTCCAGTAATTGTACTGAGTTTATATTGCTCTACATGATTTGGATGAAAAATTAGCCTCTAGTAAGAAACTGAACTGATTTGTTAAGTATAGCTGATTTAATGCACATTTCTTTGAATACGGTTGGCTTTACTATATATGTATAAAAAAACAAAACAAACAATCTGTGAGAGGTGAATGAAATGACATTTTTTTGTTGTTGTCATGAAGTAATAGATACACACACACAAAATACAATCCGAACTGACCTTCAGCAATGCACTCTTAATTTTACTTCTCTTCCTCAGGGGATGGACTATTTGGGTTCACGACAATACGTCCACCGAGACTTAGCAGCAAGAAATGTCCTTGTTGAGAGTGAACACCAAGTGAAAATCGGAGACTTTGGGTTAACCAAAGCAATCGAAACCGATAAGGAGTACTACACAGTCAAGGATGATCGGGACAGCCCTGTGTTTTGGTAAAATCACAAAGATTTTTGTCACTGTTTCACAGGGTTTCCGCTGTTTCGATAGACCCCCTTTCTGGCTATGTTAATGTCTCTCATTCCTCTTGCCTGAGTTGAGGTTGGAAAGGACTTAGAACATTTGGAATTGGTTGATCTTTGCCTTCAAGCAGTTTCACTGTAAGCAACCCACAGAGAAATGCCTGAGCTTCATATGACACTATCTTCCAAGGAATAGAGAACTCAAACCACCAGTTTCACATCTCCAGCTTCCCAGGAGAAGGCATTCATCTAACAGTTCTTAAAATTGGGTTAGAAGTTGGAGTAGGCACATCCATGCAGAGGAAGTCTGAAAAGCAGGTAGGAAGGAGGCAGGAATGAGGTGACAAAGTGGGCATGGAACAGATTCAGGGAGATCCTGGACAAAGCAGAGCAAAATCTATGGGCAACTTAGCCATCTTCTCATGAATCACCAAGGGTATCCTGATTAGGGGGCAACATCCGGACTCTGACCCGTCAGCCTGGAACACTGTCTTGTAGAGAAGCTGCTTATGTCTCCACTCTACTCCCCACACCCTACCTGCCCCCATAAAACTGATCCATACCTGGAAGATACATCCCACATAGACATGAACATAGATCCTGTCCCACCATGATGCTTAAACCTTCATTCGTTAAACAAATGCGTGTCAAGGCCCTACTCTGTGCCAGGTACTGGAGATACAGTGGACAAGCAGACTGAGTTTAGAGTTTAATGGGTGAGGCAGCCAATTTTGTGGTACCATAAGTATAGTAGGTTCAGGCTTGGTTTTCTTGGAAGTTCTGACTATAAAACCATAAAAGATTCATGGGGGTTTGTAAAAGGTGGTTAGAAGAAGGCATGTGTGACTAACAAGAATGAGACAAGACCAGTGGCATCCCAGGAACTGAAATCAGCTGTGGCTGGGTCATAAAGCAGGAGGCCTGTTTCAGGTGGGTTGCTAAGACAGCACTGGTAGCTGAGTTACAGAGCTGGGACATCATCCCAAGAGCTTTGGGATGCTACTGGAGGGTTTGAGGATGGGGATTTTTTAAAAGATCACTGTAGACTGAAGGGGAGCAAGATTGAAGCTGGAGAGGCCGATATGGCTGGAACCAGTGATGGACAGTGATTTAGCAAAGTGACAGTGGGGTTTGAGATGTGAATAGGTTTGAGAAGTATTTAGGAACTGGGATATGGGGCTGCCTGTTTCTGGCTTAGGCAGTTGGGTATCATTCATGGAAACAATTGACATTGGGAGAGGACTGAGCAGTGAGGTCACTGCTAGCTCATTCTGAGCTTGCAGGCAGATAAAACCTGGGCCCTGTCATCACATGCCACCCTCTCCTAATGGAGAGCACAAGCTTGTCTTACTGTTATTTTAGAGCAGGTACTGAAAGCCTATACGGGACATTGCTCTGTGTTTCAGGATGTACATCACAGCAGCACCTATGGGATCAATATACGACACACTTTATTAGATTCTAAGTAAAACCAAAGGGGTGATTTTCCTGAGCTCCTCTAATGTTTGTTGGAATATCCTTTCCAGGCAACGAAGTTTCATGTCCTACTTTCTTTTAGGTACGCTCCAGAATGTTTAATTCAGTGTAAATTTTATATCGCCTCTGACGTCTGGTCTTTCGGAGTGACTCTGCACGAGCTGCTTACTTACTGTGATTCAGATTCCAGTCCCATGGCGGTAAGTCTTGTCTTTTCATTTGAACCTAGCACCCAAGTAAAATGTGTCCGTCCTTCTGCTTTGCAAGTTTTATTCTTAAATGGAATTCAATCAGTGTATTATAATGGAAAGTATCGCTTTCCATTTAATGTCGTTACTTGAGTTATAGATTTCACAAGGGTCTTAAAGTTCTCTAAGATAACTCTGACCATCAGGGGTTTTATCTTTGCGAGGAGTCCAGGGACAGTTGCACGGGAGGGAGCACTGGGTAGGATCCTCACGTATTCTTAAATGAGACCATTCTCATGGGAAAAGCCTCTCAACTGGGAGAAGGAGTGGTTGGTTGAGTCAGAGATCCATTACAGACTGATCACTGAGAGCTAATAAGGATTTTGAACTTTCATTTAAAGTTACCTAAGGCAAAAAAGCCTTTTTGTTAATTTTCAGTTAATTCTAGAAATTTCACCTTAACCTATTTAGTGTTTGTATAAATATGTGCAAAGTAACACATTTTGTTTGGTTTTATTTTACATAGTTGTTCCTGAAAATGATAGGCCCCACTCATGGCCAGATGACAGTAACAAGACTTGTGAATACATTAAAAGAAGGAAAACGTTTGCCTTGTCCACCTAACTGTCCAGATGAGGTATTTTTATTATTTTCACAGCTTGGGTTATCCAAAAGGGAGTAGAAAGGAGTATAAAACTTAAAATCATTTTCTGAAGCTGAATTTCAGATAAGGTATCAGAGAATCATCTTTGGGCCAGACGACAGCCACAAGTTATTTATTTTCAAAGCAAGGATACCCTCCAAAAGTAGGCTCACCTCAGTGAGCACCCTAAAGGAGCATATTTTGATATAGCCTTATTGTGACATATATTTAATTGCATTTTGTGTATAAGTTTATCCCACTTAATAGCATTTATGGCATTCAATTTTCTGTAAAGTGAATTGAGCCTTTAAGACTAACTCTTTAGACTATTTAAGATGTACTGAATAGTATGAGTCAAAAAGAATGAAGCAAAAACTGTGGAAATTTATAGAATCTAAATTGAGATATAACTTCACCCTTAAACTGGTTTATGGTCAGTTAACCCATGAGCTTCTCAAATGTTAATTACGAAGTATAGAAGTCCCATTTTCTGTATTTTTAAAATTATTCAAATACTCTTATTTATAAATGATTTCCACAGTTTTCTTAGTCTTGATGTGTCTAAAAGACTGCAAATCTAACATTTTACTTTTACAGATTTATCAACTTATGAGAAAATGCTGGGAATTCCACCCATCTAATCGGACAACCTTTCAGAACCTTATCGAAGGATTTGAAGCACTTTTAAAATTAGCAGCATGAAGACCATTTAAATCCCACTGTGTATCAAGTTCTCCTTCCCCCAATGAATACCCAGGCCATTTGAAATCATTTTTAATGGGAAAAGTTTGTATTCTGTCTAAAAAGATACTTGGGTACGTATCCATGTGTAAGACACTGTAGTGCTTAATATGTGTAAGTACTTCTTCCTCTTTAAATTTGGCACCAGTAACATAGTGACAAATAATCACAACCAAAAATATTGGCACTCCTCCTTTTGGAAAGAATATACCACCATTTCATCTGGCTACTTTACTCTCACAGCTGTATAGCAGAATGGCATTTTTCAAAAGATGAGCTGATCATAGTAAAGTCACAAGATGATTGCTTTCTCTCAGCTGCCAGTTGATTTGAAACGTTTTTCTGGCATATAAAAATCAAAGGTTAATAATGGACTTAGATGATACTCTAACATGTAAAATTTCATTACACAGTGATAGATACCTATAATATACTATACAAAGACGAGGGTATGCCTGTCACCAGTAGGACTTAAACTTTGAATTGTTTTTCTAGTGGCTTAGCTCCTGTCCCTTTGGGTGGCCAGTGGTACC